TTCTCGCCCGGCCCGGCCCGGCCCTGTCCCCTCCTGCCTGTTCTCGCCTGTTCCCCTCTCGCCCGGCCCGGCCCTGTCCCCTCCTGCCTGTTCTTGCCTGTGCGCCCGGCCCCTCTTGCCTGTCCTCAGTGTGCGCCTGGCCATGCCCCCTCTTGCCTGGTCGCGCCTGTGCCCCTCTGGCCTGTCCCCCTGGCCCTGTCCCCTCCTGCCTGCTCTCGCCTGTGTCCCCAGCTGTGTCCCTGTGAAAGTACAGAACAGAAATTCCAGAGTCAATGAGAAGTACACGGCATCCCTGTTATGTTGCTCTTCTGTATTCTCCTCCATAAAACTGGCGTACTGTATATCCGGGACCTCCAGCACTTGCGAATGTTCGAGTGATACCATCTGAAGTGTTGTGCTTGTGAAGATGACTGTGTTTTGTCCTTGTCTCCCTGTCTCTGTGTCTCACGTCCTTTGTCTCAGCCTTATTTAACCTAGTAGGTCAACTGAGAACAAATTCTTATTCACAATGACAATCTGGAAACCCCTTTTTTACAGCAGGGCGCACCTATGAACCCCTGCTGCGTGCTGAAAGAGCCTGTAACTCTGCTCTGTTCAGAAAGAGCACATTGTTTTCCCATGTGAACGGAGTATCTGTTGTTGAAAAAGAGTACAGCCAGTGTTGGCCAGATTCCCTGGGAGTGCAGTCAGTCTTGGATGGGACCCCAGCTCTGTACAGGTCACTGGCCTCCCTGCCTGCGAGAGCTGTAATTGTTGATCAGTCAGGCTGCGCAGCATTAGAACTGAGCTCTGTGCATGTCTGTCCATCTCCGTGGGGTTTGTTGTCTATGTGCTTTCAGAGTGGGACTCCAGATCTGCATCTCTATTACTTTGTGTGCAGTTTTATTTCCGATGCTCCAGCTCGGTTTTCCGGTGTGTGTTGCCGCTGTGCCTCACCCTGTCCGTCTGTGTTCCTGACAGGAAGCCCAAGCCTACGCCGATGACAACAGCCTCCTGTTCATGGAGACCTCTGCCAAGACGGCCATGAACGTCAACGACCTTTTCCTGGCCATAGGTGAGGCGCTGTGCCCAGCTCCCTGGCGCGCAGGCTGACCCCTCCTGCGGTCTGAGAACAGTTCTGCGGCTCGTGCTGGTGGGG